CGCATTAAAATGGACTATGGTCTTAATTCGTCATATATTCCAGATCTGCAATTCGGATTTAAAAGTGGCCATTCTACGACCGATGCTTTACTTAAATTTGAAAATGATATAATATGTAATCTACGAGAACGAAAATGTACAGTAGCTATTTCACTTGACGTAGAAAAGGCATTTGACCGTGCATCCCACTTAGGAATTTTATATAAAATGATACAACTTAATTTTGACCCATTTGTTATAAAATTGTTTTATAGTTTTTTCTCAAATAGGAAATTTTGTGTTCAGTTTTAGCAACTAGTATCTGAGCTCGTGGATATTGGATGTGGTGTTCCTCAAGGTTCCATTTTGTCACCCCATTTATATAGTATATTCATGTACGATTTTCCACATCATTATGGATATTCTTGTGGTATCCTTTATGCAGACGATTCATTGCTATATGCACACGATGAATCGCCAAGTACGGCATTATGTAAAGTAAAAAATCACTTGGAGAAAGTTGCACAGTACTATACAAAATGGGGTATAAAAATTAATGCATCTAAAACTGAAGCTATTTGTATTAGAAATGCTTCAGGGAAATGCAAAAAATGGGTAGTCCCTGAAAGTAAAAATTTAAAGTTAACATTCAATGGTACTGACATTCCTATAGGCAACTCATTTAAATATTTAGGTATCACATTTAATAACCTTATGAAATTTAATAAACACGCCAGACAGGTTTTAGGAAAAGCATATCGCCTTCTTGGGTCTTTTTCAAAAATTTTGGCCAATAAGGACCTGCCATCAAGCACTAAATTACTTTTGTATAAAACTTCGATTAGACCCGTATTTCTTTATGCGTTCCCAATATGGTTCAGTATATCCCCTGTTCTAATTACCGAAATGGAAATTTTGGAAAGAAAAATTTTAAGACACTGTATTGGGAAATACTATGAATCAAGCTGCAAGCGTTTTTCCAATAGGGTAATATATGGCGAGTCCAAAATTACTCCTGTTGGTTTATACGTTTGTGATTTGATTTCAAAATTTGTTCAACGCGTAAACGGTCATGAAAGTAGCTATATATCATGTATTTATAACAACCAGAGACCATACAGTTGGTCAAATATCAACTATTTATCTCCAATTGGATATATAAATGAAGTCCCACCTAGTTTCGACATAAACACAAACATTCGATATTCTTTTTATGAAAAAGCGATATTCGGTACACATAGAGGGTGATGTGTATGCTGGTTGGTTTTTATTTTATTTTTTTTTTATATTATTTATTTTTTCTTTGTTCTCTTCTGTTGTTTTTTTGTTTTTATTTAATTTTTAAGTCTAATTGAGATTTTAACTCTCAAAATTACGGTATTCTCGGGAGCAAGGAATTATTCTACATTATTATTGTAATATAATTATTTTTTCTCTTTTCTCACATGTTTAAGCATGGTGCTGTACACACTATATTGTAAATTTTGATAACACATTATAATCTTAAGTTTGGCTTTCTTTTATTAAAACTCTTCTGAATTATAACGTTTTTAAAAAAGGCTCAATAAATTAAACCTTAAACCTTAAACCTTGCTATAAACGTTGGCCCTACAGTTCTTTACCATATCCCTAGCCCTCCTTCTACACAATTTATATCCTCCAGATTGTGCCATTAACCTCGACTATGTAGACTCCTTGGTTCCGACTATGTAGACTCCTTGGCTAAAGCCCGGTCCCTTAGATTGTCGTCTTTAACGATTTTCTAGCATTTCAATTCATCAACATAGACTTCCATCCTCCAATTCGTATAAAGTCCCTGAAACTTTAGCTCCTCTACATATATTCTTTCGCCTTACAGTTATCTATAAAGGTAATTATGCTCGGGTCTCTAGACTCCCAGCCTCTCCTGCTCATCTGTAATAGTTTGATGAAATTCCAGCTCTTCATGTCTTCTACCTTTTGCGGGAACATCCCTTCCTTGATTTTTGCTTTATTAAATACCGTTTTCTTTCGATTGTCTTAAAAGAATTTGTAGCTTAATATGACGTATATCAAAATTCCTCATCCATCATATCATCACTCTAAAGCAACATCGAACATCTACTTCATCTACGAAAACTTCGTGAGCCTTAAGTTCTGCAATTGTAGAAAACACACAACAACTATTTACTTCATTGTAGAAAATATCAGTGTTATGTCTCCCATATATCAAAATTTAAAAATTGTGATCTCTATCGGGATTTCTACAGACAGACATGTCTCAAGTGTATATTTCGAGGATTGGAATTACCAAAATATTGGCGTTGGTATATTCTTTCCAGAAAATAGTAGTTCGATATCAGAAAGAACAATTTGATGTTGTATGCAATATTCCAGGTGTGTTATGAGACTGGGGCATACTTGCTTTTGTACATTATTTAAAAACTAATAAATACAACCAACTGGTGTAAAATCAAATGTTAGCAACTGTTAGGTTGTCGGATCAAAAGTACTGTTGTCATAGGCCAATAAATTTGTTTTAATTATAAATTTTAAATAATTTCAACACTTCACAAATTGATTGACCTAAATTTCATGCCGTGTTAGTATTGTTAGATTAATCAATTTAGAAAAAAAAAATGTGAAAATTACTACTTTTATCGCAGATATCGCCGAATGTTTCGTAGCGTATGTCACAAAGGCACACCCTTTACTTTGACCGTTTTGATCACGCAACACCGTGCACTCTTCAATGGCTCCGTGTACTTCAAATAGTTTTCGAACGTCGTTTTCGTTCAGTTTCTTATTTAGCATACCAATGAACAGTTTACGTTCTGAAACGAGTGAGAGAGATAAGAAAAACAAATAAACAATTAATTAATGTTGTAAATACAATAATTTTTATTTAATGTTTTAAATATACAATATTATCATCTAAATATAAATGTAAACGTAAGCTTTGTCAAGATCAACAGACATAAACCAATATTTCAATGAGGGTTTTTTGTTTTTGGAAATTCAAGTCATGCTTGAAGATTTTAAACTTGACTTTGTACTTGATGATGCAGTTGTCTGACAAAAATAAAGTACAGGGGTTTATAAATACATTCTTTTGTATATTATTTTTGGTTTGAACTTAAAATTTTAAGACATAAAATTAGTATTTAAATTTCGAATGATGAAGACTTTAAATGCGCATTTATACATTTAAATGTTACCAACAAAACCTTGTCATATAAATACCACTGTGCACTGTACACCTTAGATGAGTTCTTGGTTTAATCGCAATATGAGCAGCAATGTCAAGTTGTTGGGTAGTTGTATATATAAATATTATTATTATTCATAAAAAAATCATCATCATATTCTCTCTCATTATAATGAAGACCTTCACAATGGCATTAAAATAATGTTTTCTTGTTTTTTGTTCGGTACAAGTTTTATTTTATTGTTCTCATTATAACGTAAGCAAACCAACACACACACCATACATTCTGCCCTCAACCAAATATGGTAAAAACTACAACAAAAACCATATAATAGAAGGCCCTTGTATGTGAGCATAAATATTAACGCTTGACTTATATTTCATATATACAATGCTTCTGTAGTTTTTGTTGTCGTTGTTGTTGTTGTTCGTAAGGTTAAAATTCATTATAATAAAATGTGTAATAATGCACAATAAAAGAAATAAAAGAAATAAAAGAAAATGGGGAAGGGGGAATGAAAATAATGCAAATTTTAGCATGAATTAAGAAAATAAATACGAATACTAGAAAGTAGTATAGGGAGGACTGTCGGATTCACTACAAATGTATGTAGTGGAGAGGGGGCACCTTTTGTTCTTTATCTGCGTAATCCAATTTGGCTAGCTTTTTCAGTTGTCAACAAATTGTTTTGAATTTTTTTTAATTTTCGAAAATTTTTGTATATATTTTTTTTTTAATAAATAAATGCATTTCTGATATGTTCGAATAAAATACATTTGTATTGTAACATAAAGACTGTAAAAAACCAAGCCGTTCAAAAATGTCAAGCCTTGTTCAAAGGTGCCCCCCTGGGGGCAGTTTTGAACACTTTGACTTCCTCCCTTAAAATAGCAATAAAATATTTATGTCAAGCTTAAAGTATGTCATATGTATATTCATTGCAAAGGTTACATACGTACCTATTAGTAAAATTTATAAGAAATCAAAAATTATAAAATAACAATTTTTATGAGGCTTGAAAAAAAGTGTTCAAAGGTGCCCCCCTCTCCCCTAATATTATAAGTGGATGTCGGTCAGGGGTACATCGGCCGCATATAACGATTTCGACCAAATTTTGGTATTAAGAAGGTTTTGGGCGCCTTATCCAACCAAAATGGCAATACATTTTGGGAATTTGGAGGCTGATATACATAAATTTAGGTATATACTTTGACATAGACTTTATACAGTTGCCCGGTGTTATTTATTTCGGTATATATAAGGTTTAATACTTTTTTTGCATATCGGATCAGAGCATAAACAACGTATAAACACGCAATACAATAACACAGTGACTATGTCAATATCCCGACTATTTTAAGAAATAGTGGAGAGTATATTAAAATTCGGAAGAAAATAAAGAAGCATTCCACTCTTAACCTTTAAAAATATTCCCCTGAATGCATTATAAACCAGTGAGCGGAGCAGTATAGTCAGACGGGTCCGACCATAGGATACCCTACACAGCTATCACGGAACTCTAACATTCTGCTGATGTTTATTTCGAGCCTGGGCAATATTTCTGATATTTGCACCGCCTTGCCGATTAGAGATCAACATCACCTTTTCCTTACACTGATATATTTTCCGAATATTACTAATATTCATTCCTTCTAATTACTTGTCCATATTTCCTTCACCGTGGGTTGTGTTTTGATGTTCGGCTTTCAATTGTGGCCTATAGATCGACTCGAAAAAAAACAAAAGATTATGTTTTCGGTCAATTCCATTCCAAAATGATTATGTGATCATCACCGAAAATTATAGGCGTTGTCCTTAGCCATAACGTGAATCTCATGGAAAATTTCAAAGCGGTCAGCACTATAATTCCGCCCTCTAGTGTGGTAATGGGTTACTAAATAATACCTCAGTACGTAAGCATCCGTAAATATTTATGTGTAACTCCCACATCCGAATACATACGCTCATATTATCAATTTAAAGGTCAACCACCGAAAAACCGACAAAAATAAAGTTTTTGGTCCATTTCATTCCCTAAATATTAACCGATCTTTACCAAAAACAATAGGGGTCTTCATTGGCCAGAACCCATCCTACATGCATTACAAACTTTTGGGGCTGTACAAAGCTATAATACCCTGACAACATAGTTGTGTAGGGTATAAAAATAGACGTCCACAAATTCGATACAAATGCAAATGTAAAACTGCAGTTGTCCTGCAGTTTAACCAGAAACTGTAATTTTTCAGGTTAAATTAGATTTCTCTGTGCAAGATGTCATGTAAATCGAACAAAGTTTGCGTATTTAGTGCACACTTTTAAGTAAAACCGGTCGAATAAATGTATGGGCAATATTGCCAATTTTTTAACATAGTTGAAGCTGATGTTCAACCCTTTATAACTCGGGGATTACTTAAGTTTATGAAAACCAGTAAGGAAATTTGTAAAGTCGGACTGGGCCGACTATATGATACCCTTCACCACTTTGGATATATTGTACATATGTATCCTTACAATTGCATGCCAATATTCCCTAGGAAATATGCGGTAGAAATCTTCAAAATACCGAAGAAGGAAAGGAACAGCAACAGTCATTTAGATGACTCTTTAAGACCCTCAATTGACGATAGAAACCCTTCACGACGATATAAGCCCTATTAAGGGACAAGCACTAATATTGAACATTTTCCTGCAAAAGGTTTTTTATTCACCAGAAATCTATTGACTACAGAAGCCCTTTCAAAATCTTCTGTTGATGATAGACGTTCTTTCAAAACCTTCTATTGTCGATGTATCGAAATCTTTTTCATACCCTCCACTACTTGGAGTGCATTCAAAATTCGAAAAATAGAATCAGACCCAATAAGCATAAAAACGTGCTAATATAGAAGGGTACCGTTATATGAGAGCTACCTGGAAATTCGACCAAATTTGTTTTTTTTTGTGGTAGTTAGATTTTCTACGCATTGAGTACCTAAAATTACTGCTGATTATGTTGAATTCCCGTCGCACGCCTCTTTCAACGTGCAACCTGCTAAAAGTGACCCAATTTTTTAATTTTTAGTACGAACATTTTCCATTTTAGTAAGAAACCTTCCCAAAGGCTTAAAAATCCCGATTATTGGGGTTAACGTTATATGGGGGCCACCTGAAATGGTTGACCAATATTGTTACATTTTAGTATGAAGATTTTCCAGTGGCAATCCAAAATACAATCTTACAGGTGATTTTGTTGAAAAACGTGCCCATGAACTTCATAATACCGATATCCCATATTCTCCGATATATACCATTTTCAGCAGGAGGGTATATAAACTCAACGATTTAGTGTCAGTCTTTGTGCTTGTAAAATGCTGAAGGAATCAAGTTGCTTTTGAGAATATTCATAGAATACATTTCTGAGTTTACTTTTGCATGATCGTAAGATACAATTTAGCACGTCTCATTAATTTAGACCAACGACGATTACTATTGAAATTGCTCTATACCAAAAATTCTTTAATGGGGACCCCTAGGTGCTCGTTTTCTTAACCTATATGTTTTCAAATACATATATGCAAAGGCCAGGTCTTCAACGTGTATTAGCTCATCTTCCAGCCATTTGAAAATCGCCGAAATTTGAAATCAAAAATGGACCCCCCATTTTATTTTTTTAATTAATTATTCTTTAAAAATAACACTCCATGTTTGTGCCCTTAAAATATTGTTAAAAATACCACACCTTTTTACGTTATTTGTGTAAATTCTTTAAGAATTCCATGCATTGTTCCGGCTCTTTAAAAAATAATTTTGAACAGTATTCCATATTATTTCTAAATTATTATTTAATGTTCCATGCCTTGGTACTGCCCTTTGTGCAGCTTTTGAATATGCACCACTTGGGGTCTTTGAAAAAATTTGATATGAGTGTTATTGCTTAAAAATCCAACCTATACAAAAATATTTATCAAGCGGTAGGAATGGTCTTTTAAAAAAATCTTCCATGAACATTTATTTCATTATACCCCAACTAATTTCTGTTGGAATTTTTCCGAACAGAAATAATATTTGCCATTCCCTTGTGAGCTGTTAAGCTTAACTAATGCCCTAGAGTTAGTATTATGACCAACTACAAATTTACCGACTGGCTGTTGCTGTTCCTGCAGACTATGACGACGACGATGATGATGAGCCAAAGTGAGAAGAAAAATAAACAACAAAGAAATTCGTATAAAAAATTACTGGCAAAAATGGCAGCCAGGCAACAACAGTTCCCAACGAGAAACAAAAACCCGAAAAAAAACTGCATGTAATGTAAAATTAATGTAATAATAAAATTCGTATTTAGCTTATTTTAAGATTAACACACAAAAAAAGGAATCGGGTTCTGCTGAAAAAAATCTACAGCTTGAGGTTTAATTCAAGCTGCCAACGTTGGAGGGGTTTTTGGATGGATCTTTTGGTCAAGTCAATTCCAGTTAAAATGTGTGTGTGTGTGGATGAAAAAATATGAAATGAGAAAGAATCTGGTGCGCTTCATGGCCAACTACTGCTGCTACTACCACTACAAACACATTAAGGTCATTTGCAGCTCCTTTTTGTTCCATTGCGCTCTTCCGTTTCCTCTGTTTGCGAAAAATTTCACA